AAAAAAAAAAAAAAAAAAAAAAAAAAAAAAAAAAAAAAAAAAAAAAAAAAAAAAAAAAAAAAAAAAAAAAAAAGCTTTATATATAAGTTATATGAAAAATTAGTTGTTATATCTGTATATAAAACAATATAACTAACCTCAGCTACCAAACTATTAAACTTTAATGAAAATTCACGAACAATATCATCCCGATCTTGTTTCGGTACATCCTTAATAATGATACAAAGCTTTGCCTATACAGTATAAATTATCATCACAAAGAATGAAGGTAAACGCTTAATTTGTTCGCAATGTGTAGTACCTGAAATATCTTTGGATCTGATTCAAATAAGAATGCACTATCTTGAAATCTTTGAAACATTATCGACATATCTCTATTAACAGCAAACTGATTCTATTGTTTTGTATAAAAAAAAAAAAAGAAATTTTGATTGCAGTAATAAAAAAATTAAAATTTTGATTAATTAATTTAATAAAATTTCGAATTTTTACCTTGAAAAGTATCATGTTTGATACTACAGTATTAAACATAGTCAAGAATAAATCTACATAATTTAAAAATTTTTTAGCTATTTTAAATTCAAACTTATTTTAATTGATATTAATTTCAGTAAAAGAAACTGGAGGTCATGCCTTCTTGAGGTGTTCGTTCAAGGGATTTAAGCCCCTCAAAGTCCAAAGCAACGTATAAATACTTCTTTGTAATCACTACATTAATATGAATTTATGTTAATTACACGTTTAATTATTAGTTAATAAATTTAAATAAATAGATACCTAATGACATCCATACACCTTCAGTGCAGCGCTATAATTAATAAAGGAATATTTAATAAAAGCTAGATAAACAATAAATATGGAATTAATAATAATCTTACCATAGCAGAACCATCAAATGTAGTTCCAATTAAATGATTTAACATATAACTATTATTAAGTAAGAGAAATTTGTTTAATTAAAAAATTTTCATTTATTTTAATTAATTGTCAAAGTTAATAAATAACAACTCACGATTTGCCACAACTTTGTTCTCCCATTGAACTAATTACTTTAACTTGCCGGTTTCCAAAATATTTAAATATGCCTTCATACCACCCAAAACTTATATTTTGAGCAATTGCATCAATATGTATAGCGTATTCATCTTCAGGTTCTCCTTGCTCAGTTTCGGATGATAAGCCATCCCGAAGTGGAATGAACAGGTTATTCCGCGCAACAGCAATTTGAATTGGAATTAAAACAGATAGTTGAATTATCCATCTTATGTAATGAAATTTCTAAATTAGCAACATATTTAATTCTCTCATTAACCATTATTTAAGATACATACTCTCCAAGTTGATATTCAGTAGAGCTTTCTTGTTTAAATTTAAAATCGTCAATGTCAAAATTATTAAAAGTGGAGACCGCTACAGTAAACCTGCAAGTAAATTATATTTTCATTAATATTAATTTTTATAAAATTTATTTAGAGAGATATCATACTTTTTTAGAGAAGTCGAAGGTTTTTTTGTTGTTCTTTTCAACTCATCAAACATTTCCGAGACATAATCTTTAAAATTTTTTTCATAATTTTTAATTTGATTACTATCATGTATATCTAAAGCAATTTGTAAACTTAAAGGTCTTATTGCTTCAGAATCAACACAGCTGTCAACTTGATATTTTTCAAATGTTAACTTATATACATCAATTAATCCATTATGATTTATTTTACGTTCAATTTGAAATTCCATCCAATTATTACTCTCTACAAGATTTGATTTAGGAATTTTCAAAATTTTATCAGAGATTATTTCTTTTACTCTATACTTTTCACCTGATAATATAATATTATCTCCTTCATGAATATCCTTTGTAAAATTTGTATTATTCCCTTCGATCATAGACAAGTAATTGCTTTGTAAAGTAGGACATAATCTAGCCTGTCCCAGAGAACTTTTTCTGAATCTTTGCTGAAATCTATATTGTGTTTTTTCGTGAGTAATCTTAATAATAGATGAACAAAATAAATATTTTTCAAGATCGAGTGTAGTTAAATGAATTTGACGTTTTTGTATCAATGAAAATTGAAAATATTCGGGTGACTTCATGGTTGAAGGCATTTCAATTACTAAAAAAAAAAAAAAAATAGAATAAATATGTAAATTATTGATAAAATAGGATTTTTACATATTTTTTTTACATATAAATTATAAATACCTTTTACAGGACTTCTAAAATTAGAACAGAAATATATATGTGCAAAATACTTTTCTTCATTTGTAACACTATGCTTATCAATATCCATACTATCTTTAAAAGACTGTTCTGTTTGTAATTCCCCTTTCACGAAAGCAACTATACATGTACCATCAGGAGTAGATACAACGATATTTGCGTTAGCAGGAATATGACCTATTCCAGGACGAAATTGTCCATTAATAAGATTATAAATGCGTGCTCGTCCTCCCATTTCCACAAAACATATTTCTTCAGTATCTTTAATGAAGAAGAAATGTTGTATATCTGGTGCTGAAAAATTGTACCATTGTAATATTTGAATATTTGGATTACGTAGCAACAGACGTTCATACATATCATCAAACACGTAAACATTTAACTAAAGTACAATATATGGTAATATTATTAAAAAAAAAAAAAAACAATTTAATAGTATGTCAAAATAAAGTTATTTAACATACCACCCCGCTTTTTGTATCATATATACCAATAAGGCCCCGTGGTTCATTAATAGCAAATAAACAATCTTTCTTCGCATTTAATTTCTTGAAAGGTTTTGGTGAATCAGAATTAAAAATATTATTAAGACGTGATGCAATATCAAAAAAGGTTTCATATCGTTTCTGCTTTTTATTCCAAAGTATTAAGAAGAATTTTTTATTCTCAAATTGAGAAAGTTTTCTACAGTATTTTATAATATATAATATAATTTAAATTAGAATTTATGATAAAATAACAATTTACTATAATAAACTTAAAAAAATCTACCTTATATCATACACAACTGGATCGATTTGAAATGATATCCCAGGAACTTCATGATTATTATTCATAGAAAACATAGGGTTAGGTACATGTAATTCTTTCTCTTGTAATTCAAATGTATCAGATTGATCCAATGATGTTTCGTAAATATTTATTTGTAATTGATCGGATTGAATTGTCTCATTTTCAAAAGTAAAACGAATTGAGTTAAGACGAGGAAAACCGCAATAATCTTTAAGTGAATTTAGAAAAAATTAATCAGCAATTTAATTCATGTTATATTTATTAAATCAATTGTAAAAAAAAATTTTAATTACCAATATTTAATATCCTAAATTTAGGTTTACTAAAATAAAGAGTTATCAATATTAACTATCAGAAATTTTTTTTTAGCATATAGAATTTATTTAAAGATTTACATACTCTTTTGGATATTTTTCTTCAATATTTTGACATATTTTTTCAAATTCATTCTTTTCTAAATCTCGAATCAATCTTGTAAGTTCATCTTCTAATCTACAAGTTATTTCTTTGGTCTGATCAGGTACGATATCTTTAATCTTTTCAACAAAAGTTTTTCTCCACTTTAAATATTCATCAAGAAAGATATTAATGACACTTTTCTTAATTTCTTGATAAGAATCAAAAAGATGTGTTCTGAATAGATTTTGAATAAAACAACTGTCATCCTGGCTGTTTAGAAGTTCAGTAGCTCTGGTTGACAGTGCCTTTATATTAATCTCATCCAATTTTAAATTAGGGGCATCATCAGAAGTTACAGTGAAGAAAGAAACTAATGTTTCTAAAATTCCTTTCTGAGCTTCAAAATACTTTACAAAAAGTTTTTGAAGATTGTTTTCTTCATCCTTAAGTATAAGAGGTAAAGATTTAAAGATCAAATAAATAATCTCAACGTTATGCTTATTATGTTTATCTTCCACGGCAAATTTAGTAATCAATGTTGTAAAAACATAGTATCGATACTTCAACTCTTTCCAAGAATGTGAATTAATTTGAACAGCATTTTCAATTTTACGTTGAATATTAGGATACTTGAGATTAATATTCCCAATAGCTAAAATTTTTAAAAAAATTTTTTGTAGATAAATAAAGCAGAATGATATAAAGTATTTATTCATAATGATAACAAAGATTTACCAGTATTAACAATTTGAGAATTTAAAGTTTCCGTTAATTTTTCGCAAACCAAAAGTTCAAATTCACTAAAATATAAAAAGATAAAAAAAAATTCGTAAACCGAAAATTAATATAAATAGCTTGAATTCAAAATTTATTATGATACCTGTATAATTCTTTAAGCAATTTTTGAGATATAACTGTAAAATACTCTGCGTTCATTTTTAAATTAAGCATTTCATGCTCTTTTTTTAAATCACTTTTCTTTGTGACTATAGCAATAGCATTTTTTAACGGGCCAATCATCTCTTCTTCCATATTTAATCCATATTTAACCAGTATTTCTAAAGATTTCATGCTCATATTACGGCTGATTTCTAAAGTAAATCGTTGTGAACGGGGGGATTGGAATTCTTGCTTAAATGTGTTGAATGAACTAGTAACAGTGTGCTTTCGCATAACTGATGTCAGAGTAATCATTTTTCGAGTGATTAAAGTTTGATTATAAATAGAATCGACAACTAAAAAAGGTTATCAAGTTAATTAAGTTATGTAGAAATAATACAGTAATATACACACAATAAGAAAATAAAAATATTCGAAAGATTGTAAAATACCCATGGGGGTTTCAATATCAGCACAATTTTCCAAATTTTTTTTCATATTAAGTGGGAGATTGATCTGAAACGAAAAAAATAATTAGTAATCAAACTAGTATAATTATGATAATGATAGTAAATCTTCTCACAATAAAACCCGGAAATAATTTGAAATCTTCCTTTTCTTCCTGACTCTTTTTAACTTCAAATTCATAACACATATTATTTTTCTCACAAGAATCTTGCTCTTTGTTAATTGCGTCAAATTCAAAGTTTTCCAAATCATTTTCACTCATAAAACAAATTTGATTATCGGTCAGTTTAGTAAGGTATCTGAAATACATTATTATTTAATGATAATATATAATAGACTATTAATAAATGTTCAATTTAGAAACACAGAAATGTAGTAATATTACCTATGCAAGTTAGTCATATTTTTCTTTTTTTGAGACGAAGCATTTTCTTTATAGCATCCAATTTCAGGCCATTGAATTACTAAACCAAGGTCAGGATTAATTAATAACAAATAAATTCCGGCTCGAAGGGTTGGTTGACATTCAATTTCCTGATTGCTCTCCGTCATTATAAGTAAATCAAAACTGCAAATAATTTAAGTGTTTAGAATGTTGAATCTCAATATATAAAACTATTTAATAATCTGACATACATCTGCTGATTGATTATACTCTTCTTTAACAAGAAATTTGCAATAAGTACATGATTTCCATAGCAACCAATAAGTCGAAATGAAAGTGCATTTAACCGATT